AATAAGTTAGTCCTGAATATTTCCAAAACTAAAAGCATTGTATTTGGGTCAAATCATTCACTAAACCCTAAACCTCAACTACATCTCGTAATGAATAATGTGGAAATTGAGCAAGTTGAGGTGACTAAACTGCTTGGAGTAACCCTGGATTGTAGACTCTCATGGTCAAAGCATATTGATACAACAGTAGATAAGATGGGGAGAAGTATGTCCATAATTAAGCACTGCTCTGCCTTCTTAACAACACTATCAACAAGTCAGGTCCTACAGGCCCTAGTTTTGTCACACCTAGACTACTGTTCAGTAGTGTGGTCAGGTGCCACAAAGAGGGACTTGGGAAAATTGCAGTTGGCTCAGAACAGGGCAGCACGGCTGGCTCTTAAAAGTACACGGAGAGCTAACATTGATGACATGCATGTCAATCTCTCCTGGCTCAGAGTGGAAGAGAGATTGACTTAATCACTGCTTGTTTTTGTGAGAGGTGTCGACGAGCTGAATTACCGAGCTGTCTGTTTGGAATACTGGCACACAGCTCGGACACCCATCCATACCCCACAAGACATGCCACCAGAGGTCTCTTCACAGTCCCCAAGTCCAGAACGGACTATGGGAGGCGCACAGTACTACATAGAGCCATGATTACATGGAACTCTATTGCACATCAGGTAACTGACACACACATACACATGGATGTTGTATTGTAAATATGTGATAGTGGAGTAGTGGCCTGAGGGAACACACTAAATGTATTGGGTTAAATGTTATGAAATATAATGTCATGTCATATTTTAAATTGTATATGGCTGCCTTAATGTTGCAGGACCCCAGGAAGAGTAGGTGCTGCCTTGGCAAAAATACAAAAACTGTGTTCAGCACTTTTGAAATGTACAGCGACAGACTTCAGAACATGGGCAGTTCTTACAGTGTTCTCCCTATACACCAAGTCAGAACCGTAGGATAAATAAAGGGGGCATATAAGCAGACAATGAAAGCTCTTACAATATTCAATGATGACATTTCTCTAAAACAGGCTATACGCTACATGTACACCACCAAGTCAGAACAGTAGGCTAAGTTATGAGGGGGAAAGGGACCAAATTATTAGGGTGAGACACATTGGCTACTAACAGCTTACTACACAACATACACTTAGTATTGCTTTCTTAGCTACAGTATACATATCTCCCTGGCATATTACATCATTTATGCAGCAGCATACAATACATTTTTGGACTCACCGTTGTGCTGTGCTCACTTGAACAGGAAGGTGGTGCCCCGCATTCCTTCTTGTGGGCAAATTTGGTAATGAAACTTTGTCATCAAAGTCTGGCATTCTCTGTATTTATAAGGTGCTTTCAAGACAACTGGGAACTCAGAAAAACAAGGTCGAATCATGACGCCAGTGATCTTCAGGTCAGAGCTCTAGAAAGAGGCCTGTGTTCCCGACTTGGAATTCCGAGTTGGATGACCGTTCAAAACGTACTTTCCCTGTCGGAGATCGTTTTTTTCCGAGTTCCCAGTTGTCTTGAACTCACTGAAGTCTGAGATTTCCCAGTTCTGAGTTCCCAGTTGTTTTGAACCCGGCAGAAGTCATGCTGGATTGACAGTATGGACAATGTATTCAACCTTTTCTGGCCCATGGTGTTGCGTGTGAATGTTTATCCTTTTAAGCTATGAAAAGAGACCCTTAAACCCAGACTTGGACCACACACCCTTTCCACCGAATAGCAGGGGAAGCAAAAATAGTGATTGCTTTGCAACACTTGCCGCTAGCCACTGATTCCTTTCAAACCACTCATTGTTGAATTTGCGATTTCCAACTTGTTGTGTAATGTTTATGTCCAATGAGCACCGATAAGTTTTATCTATAATTTCTCTTCATATGACAAGGATTGTAATTTTTTACATTGTTTGCAAACTGATATGTGACACGTATTAATGCCAAAATAACATGCAAAACAGGCAAGAAATTACGGGTCGCCACTGTTTCTTCCATTCACCATACGGTTCAATGGACTTGCATCCACTACTCCTGGTACGTGGTGCTTTAGATTTTCAGCCTCAATTTCCACGCGACACCAGAGATGACACCTTTTACTGGTGCCCTGTTCAGAAAATCAAAGCTTTCTACTTCATACTCTGATAATTCCATACCACTCCTGGTCACACCATACCACTCCTGGTCACACCATACCACTCCTGGTCACACCATACCACTCCCGGTCACACCATACCACTCCCGGTCACACCATACCACTCCCGGTCACACCATACCACTCCCGGTCACACCATACCACTCCCGGTCACACCATACCACTCCTGGTCACACCATACCACTCCCGGTCACACCATACCACTCCTGGTCACACCATACCACTCCTGGTCACACCATACCACTCCCGGTCACACCATACCACTCCCGGTCACACCATACCACTCCTGGTCACACCATACCACTCCCGGTCACACCATACCACTCCCGGTCACACCATACCACTCCTGGTCACACCATACCACTCCTGGTCACACCATACCACTCCTGGTCACACCATACCACTCCTGGTCACTTTGATTAACCACCATCTCCTTGACTGCAAATGGATCTCCCAAAAACACATATTTATCTATGAAAAGTACTCCAACAAGGAACAAGGCATTATTAAACCGAGGCCTATCTTCATTAACAACTTTGGCCCGTTTTGCGCCATTTTTCAATGGGACAGTTTTACACTCATTTCCATCAACTTTACTCAACACGCCATCCAACTCAAACAGCGCTTCCGTCATGTTTCTGACCTCGGCCTTCTTCTTCTTCTTTGGTATTATGGTGGTCCGCAAACAAATGTTATAGGTGCATGCAGCCACCTACTGTATTGGCTGTGCATCAGCCTACTATTCTGTAGTATGAATTCATTACACTTTGTGAACAAATTTGCCCTACCAACTAACCCTACACGCACTAAAAGCTACACCACTATTCCACTACTTTGGCCCCATCTGATCCTAAACAAGGCCAGCAGCCTGGGAGGATGGGACACTATTGTTCAAAACACCTTGTAACTCTTCTGCAGTAAAATCTTGTCCACCCAAGTACGTCTCTGCAGCTGCCACCACAACATCTATCCTCTGTGATTTACGTTCCATTCCTGTGGTAAAGTTGACAACCAAGGCCGTGAACGCCAAAAAAACAACCTTACTGAAGCACATTATTCCTATCACTCTCTATTGACCTCGGCCTACTCACAGGGATCCTCTTAGGATCCCTCACCATGGACCCATCTTCCTCTACTACTCTCTTCACTGCCTCAGCATATGACACCTTCTGCACTTCTCTGATGCTGGCAACTTCAACCTGCCTCTCTCACCGGACACCTCTGATCTCCAGGACCATGGGTACCCCTACAGTTTACACACACAACTTTTTCCACCGAAAATGCATATTCCTCTGTCTCATGTCCTCCTGCACACTTCTCACATCTAGGAATCTCCCTCCTACACACTGCTGCCACATGACTATAAGCTTGACACCTAAAACAATGTAATGGGTTTGGGACAAAAGCTCTCGTGGGATTACTGACATCATTACTTGACATTATTTGGTAAAAACTCTGCATCAAACTCAGTAGTACAGACAGTGTCTTCTCGGTTTCACCACTCTCCACCTGGTCTGCGACACCGACACCGGGAATCTTCAACTTCATTTGATCCTCCTCAACACTTAACGCCACTCCAGTTATCACTCCTTTCAACGGCGCCCTGCTCCGGAGAGGAAAGTAAGTCACAGTTCTTGTCCCCAGTTGCATGGTGCGGAGAGCACACTCCCTCTGGACGACAGAAACTCAAAAAATAAACACGATTCCACGTCGAGTCACCTTCACCGACCTTACATTCCCCAACCTCTTCTCCACCCAACCTGACACAACATATGGATCTGCCAGAAGGCAAGGAAACGTTCTCTCCAAAAATCTCACTCCCGCTGGGCTAGAATCATCTTTATTATCATGATGAGGCTCAAACTCTGCGGTCTTCACCGCACCTGCCACTGCAGTTAATTCATCCTCACTCTGATCACGTTCAATTTCCTTCTGTAGCTCTTCCAAAAGAAAGTTCTGTGTGATCCACCACTCCATATTCACTCAAAACATTCCACTTTTCTCATTTTTTTCAGTCCGCCATCTTTAACCCCCACCTCATGGCCACACCGGCAGCCATCATTAGGTGGCCTGGTCTGATGGTTCCCCTCTGTGGTATTACAGTCACCTAATTGTTTTATACACAAAAGATTGTCTGATAGGCAGCCCAATATGTTTGCTTTTAAAATGAACAATAAAATATAGACACAATCAGGCAAGATCACATACAAAACATCACCATACACAAAACAAGACAAATGTATAGAAATAAAATAAAGGTGTATACTACCTGTATGGTGCTTTTACAAAGACACTACAGTCTTACAAATTTATTGGAACCTGAACCTAAAATCTGGTGCATTTTGGTAAATTAAAGGGGCAATCTGCAGTTGCTACATCCACCTTTGGACTTATAAATGAATGATATTAACCCCTTGATTCTTGACGAATATAACTTATAAATGCCTCATGAGTTTAGTTCAACTGTCGTACCCATCAGAACCCGACATATAAGCTTGTTTTACTCCAATGTTTGTAAATAAAGTAAAAGTAAACAAACCCTATTTAGCCTCAAAACATGGTTAAAACTATCATTTTATATCATGGATTGTCAGTCCCTGCATCCATAGTTTTTTTGTACCTAAACAGGGGCTCGATAATGCTTTGTTATTGTTTTACCTGCTGATTGCCGCTTTAAGGTCTGTGGCATATTAATTTAGCATAAGAGGTGATGGTCCATGACAATGATATAATACAAAAGCCATCCAGGAGAAAGCATTTAGATCAATGGCCGCAGCACAAGGCAATATGCATCACATTATCAGAAAAAATTAAGGCATCTGAATTTCCCGTGTGCACTTGTGAGTTCTAGTCCTTCTTTTTGTCCTTGACCTCCTCGTCATCAGTGTACTCGGAGGGTTCCTCTCCAGGTTTCAGAAGTTTGCCAACATAGTCATACTTTTCTGTAAAAGGCAGGAAGAAGTAGAAAATAACATTGAGTTCCTGAGAGACATTAGCTAGACACGACACCATAGCCGAGCTCTAGGACATTGTAATCACTGGGTGGAGAATAGCCTTAGCCTACAAAGACTGCCTCTCATGTGTGGGTTTCAATTCACAGCACTACTCAATGTAATGACAGTCTGCGTTGAAAGTGTTAATTTGATGCAAAGTAGTGTTTACGACGTTATGCCCAAGTATGGTGCCATACTGAATGTGCTGTAGCTACCTCTTCTATCTTAGTCATGTAAAACAACACACAAAAGAGGTGTTGGCTAAAGCATCAACAGACTGGACCACCACAAGGTGCATCAACAGCTTACAATATATTCTGTTGAGTGGAGTGTGTGCATGTGATGTTGACTGCAAGAGGTCCATTTCGCTTGAGGTAGAAAATACAGTATCTGACCGTTAAACAAGTGTTTTGTAGCAACTTCTATCAACTCGTCCATCAACTCACGGGTGAACTGGGTCTCCCATTCGTTGAGGCTCTCCTGTTGCATGGCGTTGAGGTCCGAGAGGTCATCGTGGGTGTCTTTCAGGGCCTCCTTCTCCAGACAGAAAGTGGCCAGGCCCCTGGAGGCATCTTTACCAGCCAACAATCCATATGGACCCACTGGAGAACAACACACACAGACAAAGACTTTGATTTAAAACGTGATTGTGAATAGACAAACTATTTGTCAAGGTTTATAGATTTGCTGAAGACTGCCATTTAAAGCAGCAATCAACCGTTGAAAACAAAATCATACGCCCCGCCCCTGTTTTGGTAAAAAGCTGAAGGATGGGGCTGGAGAAATGTAACCATACTCAAATTCATAGACAGAGCTATGGATGGAAGGATTGACCATCCATGATATTAAAACTATATCAAACTGTTTTAACCATGTTTTCAGGCTATATTGTTTATTTACTTTGTATTCCAAACATTGGAATAAAACAAGCTTCTATTAGGGGTTCTGATGGGTAAAACAGTTGAACTAAACTCATGAGGCATTTATAAGTTATATTCTTCAAGAATCAAACTTGTATCTCAATCAATGGATTTATATAATGAATTTAAAAGTTTTAAAAATGGGCGTACAGTTGAAGTCAGAAGTTTACATACACTTAGGTTGGAGTCATTAACACTTGTTTTTCAACCACTCCACAAAGTTCTTGTTAACAAACTATAGTTTTGGCATGTCGGTTAGGACATCTACTTTGTGCATGACATGTCATTTTTCCAACAATTGTTTACAGACAGATTATTTCACTTATAATTCACTGTATCACAATTTCAGTGGGTCAGAAGTTTACATACACTAAGTTGACTGTGCCTTTAAACAGCTTGGAAAATTCCAGAAAATTATGTCATGGCTTTAGAAGCTTCTGATAGGCTAATTGACATCATTTGAGTCAATTGGAGGTGTCCCGGTTGATGTATTTCGAGGCCTACCTTCAAACTCAGTGCCTCTTTGCTTGACATCATGGGATAATAAAAAGAAATCAGCCAAGACCTCAGAAAAAAAATGGTAGACCTCCACAAGTCTGGTTCATCCTTGGGAGCAATTTCCAAACGCCTGAAGGTACCACGTTCATCTGTACAAACAATAGTACGCAAGTATAAACACCATGGGACCACGCAACCGTCATACCGCTCAGAAAGGAGCTTAGTGGTTAAGAGCGTTGTGCCAGTAACCGAAAGGTCGCTGGTTCTAATCCCCGAGCCGACTAGGTGAAAAATCTGTCGATGTGCCCTTGAGCAAGGCACTTAACCCTAATTGCTCCTGTAAGTCGCTCTGGATAAGAGTGTCTGCTAAATGACTAAAACATTTTTTAAATGAAGGAGACGCGTTCTGTCTCCTAGAGAAGAACGTACTTTAGTGCGAAAAATGCAAATCAATCCCAGAACAACAGCAAAGGACCTTGTGAAGATGCTGGAGGAAACAGGTACAAAAGTATCTATATCCACAGTCAAATGAGTCCTATATCGACATAACCTGAAAGGCCGCTCAGCAAGGAAGAAGCCACTGCTCCAAAACAACCATAAAAAAGCAAGACTACGGTTTGCAACTGCCCATGGGGACAAAGATTGTACTTTTTGGAGAAATGTCCTCTGGTCTGATGAAACAAAAATAGAACTCTTTGGACATAATGACCATCATTATGTTTGGAGGAAAAAGGGGGACGCTTGCAAGCCTAAGAACACCATCCCAACCGTGAAGCACGTGGGTGGCAGCATCATGCTTTGGGGGTGCTTTGCTGCAGGAGAGACTGGTGCACTTCACAAAATAGATGGCATCATGAGGAAGGAAAATTATGTGGATATATCTCAAGACATCAGTCAGGAAGTTATAATCGGTCTTCCGGTCGCATATCGGTCTTCCAAATGGACAATGACCCCAAGCATACTTCCAAAGTTGTGGCAAAATGGCTTAAGGACAACAAAGTCAAGGTATTGGAGTGGCCATCACAAAGCCCTGAACTCAATCATATAGAACATTTGTGGCCAGAACTGAAAAAGTATGTGTGAGCAAGGAGGCCTACAAACCTGACTCAGTTACACCAGCTCTGTCAGGAGGAATTGGCCAAAATTCACCCAACTTATTGTGGGCGGCTTGTGGAAGGCTACCCAAACCGTTTGACCCAAGTTAAACAATTTAAAGGCAATGCTACCAAATACTATTTGAGTGTATGTAAACTTCTGACCCACTGGGAATGTGATGAAAGAAATAAAAGGTTAAATAAATCACTCTACTATTATTCTGACATTTCATTCTTAAAATAAAGTGGTGATCCAAACTGACCTAAAACAGGGAATTTGTACTAGGATTAAATGTCAGGAATTGTGAAAAACTGAGTTTAATGTATTCGGCTAAGGTGTATGTACATTTCCGACTTCAACTGTAGCAACTGCAGATTGCCCCTTTAATGAAACAAGTATGCACTGTTTCTTAAACATGGTGAAAATATAGTTAAACTTCCACATGATGCCCTCCAACAGACATACCGTACTCCATTCTAAGATCAGATGGCTTCAAAGATAGCCCCCAACAACAAGCCCTCTATTCTCGATGTTGAGACTGAAGGATAGGATAGTCTGAATCCTTGGAATGAGTCTCAGCCAGTAGGCCTATTATTGCTCTTCAATAGGCCTCAACAAGCCTTACTTTGTGCAACCATCTGGTCTGGCTGAATTGAACATTAAACCTTGTGCAAGGCATTCACCTGTCTATGTCAAGCTATTTGTTCTGAATTGACATGACAGGAACTGAGGCACACCTCAAAAGCAAGGCACAGCAATAAGATAAATAGTATACCCTATTTCCGAACTGAGAATATATTCAATTCCTACATATTTTCAGCGAGGGTGATCCTCGGGAGAGTTTGCGTAATAGCCTAGGGCAAGATTAATCAAATCGGTTAGAGGTTACAACATGCCAACTCGGTTGAACACTCCAGTTACAGCTTGTGTAACCGCATCTCCGCCAGAGCGCTCTGTTGTTAGGTTTCTGATTACCCGGAACAACGATGTCGGGATGAACTACGCCCGCCAGCGGTCACACAGCTCGCGTGTTGTGAAATTACATCGCTGGCAATGATTTATGAAGAAGGGGGTGTGACGTTTTAGAATGGTCGTACTAGTTATACGCATACTCAATAGACACAAAGTAACAAACGTATGTATTAAGTTTACTTAGCAAGCCACTTGGCTACAGTTGCGCCAACCATTATTTTGAACAGAAATAACAAATGTAAATAGCCTACAACTTCTTTTACCTGGCCCGTATAATTTCCTTCCTGTGGTTACGTCAAACACCTTTGAATTGACAGCCATGAGAATTCTTCGATTTTGAAGCCCATCGTACGGTTGCAGCTCCGCTAAAGTGAAATCTCTGTTCTTGAGTTTAGGCAGAGGTTCCTCAACCTCGCCCATATCTGCAGGCTTGTCTCCGCAGAAGATTCTGAGCAAAATAAATATGAAGAGGCCAAGCAGACTCAAATTCAACGGGGAAGTGAACATTTCTTGCAAAATTCCTGAAGAAGATTCCTCGGCTTCCTCTGTATCAGCCATGTTTGTTTCTCTATGCTTGGGTGGGACTGTAGGCTACGTATCAAATATTATTTATTATAAGGTTTCTCCTTTCATCTGTGACATGAGGTTTATCGAGGGTGTGTGTCAATGCACCAATCACAGAGGCCAAAAATTCACTTTAATGCTGTTTTGACCAATGGGCTTTGTGTTTTGAAAAACGTATTACATCAATTTGATGCCTTTAACAATCATATATCTATTTGATCAATATAAAATATTCAGTGCATTAATTAATTCAGATCAGAATTTTGGGATCAAATATGACCTTAATTCATTGAATAATGATAATCTTGTCTTGCATGGTGGGTAGGGCATGTATTTTTTATTTTATTTTTTTTATCAAAAAAGATAATTAAACTGTTATTAATTTATTTTGAATCAAAAGACGAAATGGGACTTTGATAACGACGTCATTCTGATTAATGACATCACATCCTGTAGCTAGCTACTCCTTTACTGTCCAATATCTTTATCAAAGATCCTACAGGATCAAGATAGGCAGAAACTGCTTCTCCAGTAGAAATCCCCAATCACACATGTAGGCGATGTCATGGCGACGTTGGCTAGCTAAACTCGTGCCAGAAACATGTCATCGGGTCTAACGGGCGTCTCGTGCCAAAATTGCGCATGTGCGGCCGTCAAATCAAAGGCATTCCTTCGATATAAAATGAAAATGTATCAGTTTGTCACTTTCACGAGGTTGGAGTTGGAGTAATAACATGTTCAACTACTTAAGACATTGGCTCGAATTTAGGTTCTGCCATTAGATTTTGAGAAAATTAACAACTAAAGAATCATTTTTCACCTCAGCCTTCTCAAACCCCAAACCCCGGCCTGGTCTGCTTGGTCTGTTTGCAAGCGTTCACGGAAGTCTCACGATGTTGCGCCTCTGGGTTTAGAAACTCTGTGTCCTCATATCGGTTGAGTTCTTGCCGACTAGATGGGCAGGCGTTGCATTGCATCAGCTAATGGCTTGGTGCCACATCATTGACTGTGCAGTCGGGCATCAGATTGCTATGGCATATGATGTGGTTAGCTGATATGTGAAATACCTATCCAGGCGTTCTAAGATTTGGCATGCATCTGCAATGTAGTTGGCAGGAACTCAACCCCTATGTTCAGAGGTAATATCAGACACCCAAAACTAAAATGTCACATCAAATCAAATCAAATCAAATTTTATTGGTCACATGCGCCGAATACAACAGGTGCAGACATTACAGTGAAATGCTTACTTACAGCCCTTAACCAACAGTGCATTTATTTTAAACAAAAAAAGTAAGAATAAAACAACAACAAAAAAAGTGTTGAGAAAAAAAAGAGCAGAAGTAAAATAAAGTGACAGTAGGGAGGCTATATATACAGGGGGGTACCGTTGCAGAGTCAATGTGCGGGGGCACCGGCTAGTTGAGGTAGTTGAGGTAATATGTACATGTGGGTAGAGTTAAAGTGACTATGCATAAATACTTAACAGAGTAGCAGCAGCGTAAAAAGGATGGGGTGGGGGGGGCAGTGCAAATAGTCCGGGTAGCCATGATTAGCTGTTCAGGAGTCTTATGGCTTGGGGGTAGAAGCTGTTGAGAAGTCTTTTGGACCTAGACTTGGCACTCCGGTACCGCTTGCCGTGCGGTAGCAGAGAGAACAGTCTATGACTAGGGTGGCTGGAGTCTTTGACAATTTTGAGGGCCTTCCTCTGACACCGCCTGGTATAGAGGTCCTGGATGGCAGGGAGCTTTGCCCCAGTGATGTACTGGGCCGTACGCACTACCCTCTGTAGTGCCTTGCGGTCAGAGGCCAAGCAGTTGCCATACCAGGCGGTGATGCAACCAGTCAGGATGCTCTCGATGGTGCAGCTGTAGAATTTTTTGAGGATCTGAGGACCCATGCCAAATCTTTTTAGTCTCCTGAGGGGGAATAGGCTTTGTCGTGCCCTCTTCACGACTGTCTTGGTGTGTTTGGACCATGATAGTTCGTTGGTGATGTGGACACCAAGGAACTTGAAGCTCTCAACCGGTTCCACTACAGCCCCGTCGATGAGAATGGGGGCGTGCTCAGTCCTCTTTTTTTTCCTGTAGTCCACAATCATCTCCTTTGTCTTGGTCACGTTGAGGGAGAGGTTGTTGTTCTGGCACCACACGGCCAGATCTCTGACCTCCTCCCTATAGGCTGTCTCATCGTTGTCGGTGATCAGGCCTACCACTGTTGTGTCGTCGGCAAACTTAATGATGGTGTTGGAGTCGTGTCTGGCCATGCAGTCATGGGTGAACAGAGAGTACAGGAGGGGACTGAGCACGCACCCCTGAGGGGCCCCCGTGTTGAGGATCAGTGTGGCAGATGTGTTGTTACCTACCCTTACCACCTGGGGGCGGCCCGTCAGGAAGTCCAGGATCCAGTTGCAGAGGGAGGTGTTTAGTCCCAGGATCCTTAGCTTAGTGATGAGCTTAGAGGGCACTATGGTGTTGAATGCTGAGCTGTAGTCAATGAATAGCATTCTCACGTAGGTGTTCCTCTTGTCCAGGTGGGAAAGGGCAGTGTGGAGTGCGATAGAGATTGCATCATCTGTGGATCTGTTGGGGCGGTATGCAAATTGGAGTGGGTCTAGGGTTTCTGGGATTATGCTGTTGATGTGAGCCATGACCAGTCTTTCAAAGCACTTCATGGCTACAGACGTCAGTGCTACGGGTCGGTAGTCATTTAGGCAGGTTATCTTAGAGTTCTTGGGCACGGGGACTACGGTGGTCTGCTTGAAACATGTTGGTATTACAGACCCAGTCAGGGACATGTTGAAAATGTCAGTGAAGACACTTGCCAGTTGGTCAGCACATGCTCGGAGTACACGTCCTGGTAATCCGTCTGGCCCTGCGGCCTTGTGAATGTTGACCTGCTTAAAAGTCTTACTCACATCGGCTACGGAGAGCGTGATCACATAGTCATCCGGAACAGCTGGTGCTCTCATGCATGCTTCAGTGTTGCTTGCCTCGAAGCGAGCATAGAAGTGGTTTAGCTCGTCTGGTAGGCTTGTGTCACTGGGCAGCTCGCGGCTGTGCTTCCCTTTGTAGTCTGTAATAGTTTTCAAGCCCTGCCACATCCGACGAGCGTCAGAGCCAGTGTAGTATGATTCAATCTTAGACCTGTATTGACTCTTTGCCTGTTTGATGGTTCGTCGGAGGTCATAGCGGGATTTCTTATAAGCGTCCGGGTTAGAGTCCCGTTCCTTTCAGATGCTCGATTAAATTATTGCGTCAGATGCTCGATTAAATTCTGAGGGGAGATGTATGTTAGAAAATGTACTCAGGAGCAGTGGCGATTTTAGCATGTAAATCTTGGTGGGCCAAACAATACATTAATTGCACTATAATGGTGACAAATAATGCCCACATAAAGCTGTCCTAACAGCAGAGTCCCGACACCTTACCACTGCTACACCTGGTTATCAATGGAGCCTTGTCTGGCAGCGAAACAGTTCATTCAGCCTCATTTACTGCCTTTAAAAAAAAACATAGCTGATATGGCTGACTTGCTTAAACAAATGTGGTTCCTAGTGACAATTGAGATGTACAAACTATGGCATAAGGGGACGACGAGCGGATAAGAGGCAATCCGTAATTTCAATTAAGACATTAATGAGCGAGCTAGGATGAACGTAGTCAATATAACTATTTGTTCAGCACTTTTGAAATGTTCAGCGACAGAATTCAGAACATGGGCCGTTCTTACAGTATTCTCCCTGTACACCAAGTCAGAACCGTAGGATAAACGAAAGGGGGCATATAAGCAGACAATGAAAGCTCTTACAATATTCAATCATTACATTTCTCTAAAACAGGCTATAGGCTACATGTGCATAAAAAACAAGGTCGAATTATGATGACGTCAGTGATCTTCAGGTCGGCGCTCTAGAAAGAGGGCCGAGTTCCCGACTTGCAATTCGGAGTTGGATGACCGTTCAAAACGTAATTTTCCAGAGCTAGTTTTCTTCCGAGTTCCCAGTTGTCTTGAACTCACTCTAGTCAGATTTCCCAGTCCTGAGTTTCCAGTTGTTTTGAGCGTGGCAGAAGTCATGCTGGATTGACAGCATGGTAAATGTTGAACATTTATTCTTTTAAACTTGGAAAAGAGACCCTTAAACCCAGACTTGGGACCACACACCAAATCCACTGAATAGCAGGCTAGTGATTGCTTTGCAATGCTTGCAGTTAGCCACTGATTCCTTCCAAACCACTCATTGTTGAATTTGCCATTTCCAACTTGTTGTGTAATGTTTATGTCCGATGGCCGATGAGCACCGATACGTTTTATCTATAATTTCTCTTCATTATTTCTCTTCATATGACAAGGATTAAATAGCATTTGCCAGTAGATTGTCTACTTAATTCATGATGATGACTGCTGGCTTGCTAGCTAAGATTTTGAAAGTATGATGTTGACATGATCAGTCCAATCAAAGCTACTGTAGATATAACGTGATTTGACGTAATTTTATCTGTGGCCAATTACCTTGAGCCTTCTTGGATGGGCACTTCTAATGTAACTCTATGGCAGCACCCAAGGGGCTTGAATTTCTTAGCTCTACCATTAGATCTGGCGGTGATGTAGTGTCCCCATGAGTGACAGAACACTGAGCCAATCACGGCGCAACTAGAGAACATTACCCAATCACAGCGCAACTAGAGAACATTACCAACACCTATGCTCCATATTTTCTGCTGGCTTTCCCACCATCACAGCAAGCACTGAGCTAGGCTGAAACACCTGCATTTTGGAGCTGCCTTACTCAAGAAAGAAAAAAAGATTTATTAATTAAAATTATTTATATATATTCTTTTTACATTGTTTGCAAACTGATATACGACACATATTAATGTCAAAATAACATGCAAAACAGGCAACCCCCCCCCCCCCCCCCCAAAAAAAGAAGCTCTATCCCACCCACCCTGAATAACGGGTTGCCACTGCTAAGGAGACTAGGAGGTCTCCAT